CCCCTTCAGATACTGGAAGGCTGCTATGAGGTCTCCACTCATAAGCCCTTCAGGGATGAACACACTTATTTCCCAGAGCAGTGACTAGACTCATTAGCCATTTGTAACTTAAATTCCTTTAGGATATTGTCATGAAGAAATAAATGTACACTGCATGATAGTATGCCTTGTGACAGGAGATTCTGTGTAGAAACTGTTGGGAACAGACACAAATTTACCATATGACTGGTATGAATTTCCCTATTTCTTCGACAATACTGGAAGAAATCACCTCCCTGTGATTTGTTAGAGCTGAGGAATAAAACCATTCCACTTTCTCACAGAAATTGCTCTCAGAATTTTCTGTGAATAAGGTTCTTCCTTTCCTATGAAAAACTGTGACCAGCACTCTCCTTAGCCTTAAGAAAAGAAAGCTGGCCATGGCCAAAGTACAAAATGCTGACGTCACTTGCAGGCTTTTTATGAAGAAAGTGAATATTTTTCACCAGAAGATAAGCACTTCCATACACTAAAAATATTTGTGGGAGCTTTTACCTTCCCCCTGCCAAGGAGAAAGCCTTCCCCTTTCCCCTCCCAATTAATACAAACAGCAAAACCAAAGGTCTGTGGCATTCTCTTAACAGCCCAGCTGATACCCAAGTCAGAGGAGATAGGCTTGGTCAAGCGAGGTTTGTCTTTGATGAAAGAGTAATTCCTTGTGTTCTCTGTTTCCTAAAAGAGATGGACTGAGAGACTGTATATCTCGATGATTGCCAAGTGGCTGTGATTGTGGAGGGATTGCGTTTGGTCACTTTACAGCTCCCTCCAGGTCTGTGTGCATTTTTCAGCTGCTGAGAAATAATTAGGTTTGGGAAACTGAGCCTAGACTTCCTGAATTGTAGCAGTGGGTGTATAAACGCTACTTGCGAATTCTTGACAGCATTCTACAAATACTCTACCTTGCATGAACCACAAGACTTAACTGAGACACCATTCAATCTGCTCTGCTATGTCTGATTTGCATTCAGATTTTCTGTGCTCTATTTGTTTCTCATGAACACAACAGAGTAGTCAGTGTGCGTCCCAGGGTGGTGTACTGGAAGCTGTATTTTGAAGCCTGTGATTTAGAAAAAAACAGTAAAAGAACTTTTGATCTCTGGGCTCAGATTAGATGTATTTTGCTTTGATAAAGGGTACATAATTTCTTGTGTGTATTTTCATTTTTTATTATTTAAAATGAAACAGCTATGGCTGAACAGATGGACTTTATACCTGGTAGATCTATCACTCTCCTGTATTGCAGGTACAAAGATGAAGCCATATAGTAGCTTAGTAATAACTCTATGCTTCCAGAGAAATGCAACTGTGATTTACAAGCTAGTAAATCTTGAAAGTTCTCAATACTTACACTGTGGTTTTGTTGTTGTGGGAGTGGCCTTTTAGAGGATATGAACTCCAGGCCCAGCTGTTTCTCATGGCAGTACCATAGCCCCTGCAGGTCATCACCTGGATAGTCCCAGCCCAGTTAGCAGGGATTACACACCACCATCTCCCACTGTGGTATATAATATTCACTATATATTATACATATATATATTAATAGAGCTATCTATACTTACTATGTATTACATAGTCTAAGAAATTATACGTAATCTAAATAGATTATGAAAGCGTAAATAGGTACTAAAGTAAACATATTAAAGTGTAAATAAAGATAAGCATAAAGAGATATACAGAAATGTAGCTAGGTATGTATGTAAATGTGTGTATGTCTAAATACTGTGTATTATGAGTGGAAATGGATAATTTATATATATAAACCATATATGTTCAAATCATACACGTATGTGTAAATAGATACATAAATATAAATGTCTATGATATATAATGTTTTCAAAATGCAAAGAAACCCTGTTTATAGAAAGGCTTTAAACACCCAATGACCCTTCTAAATACCTACTGAAGATAGAAAAGTTTAAAAAAGCTGCCCCTTTCCCCTTCTCTTTTTCCATGCTGTTTTGGGGCCCATTTCTCCAGATAGGACTTTCCTCTGCAGGGCCATGCACATTGGGTAGAAGCTGCTGCCATGGTATAAGGATATTCCAAACCCCCTGATTTTGATTCTGCAATGGTTTAAATCCCAATTTGGGGCTCCTGGGAAAGCCAAATCCACCTGGTTTTATGCAACAGAAAGCAAAAAACTCCCACCTCCTTTTAATGAACAAAACCAAAAATCAGAAATTTCTATGCTGTGGATATGCAGTAGAAGAACTCCCCAGCTGAATATTTTTTTTCAACAGCAAAAAATTCATGCTTCTCTCCAATTTTTATGTTATGGAAAAGCAAACAAAGAAACCCAAAACAACCCCACTGCTGCGGTGCAACTCTGCCAGTCTGAGGGGCACCAGTGGGAGTTATCTGATGTGGGTCAGCTAGCTGGAGTGGATTATACATTGCAATTAATACAGGTTAGCTTTCTGCTGTGGATTATCTTGAATGGGCTGTGTGGTTAGATCATCCCCATGTATGACCTCCCCATGCAGGTTTTACCCACTTACCCACCCCCTCTGTGTGTTGCTCCAAATGCTGTCCCCCAAAACATATTCCCACACCATATCCCCTTCCCCACACCAGTCCCCTTCTGGCTCCTTGCGAGTTCATTTTTTCATGTGAGCTCTTTCTTCATGAGTTTCGCCCCTGCCCCCACCTCACATCCCCCATAACCCCTCTGCATCCAGACCCCACTGCTTGCACATTGCCCACCCCACTTTCCTCCTACAGTGCTGGCCACGAAGGGATACGTTAGCTCCTGCTGAGCAGCACTTGCACTGCACCAAGAGCTGTTCTGCTCCTTGCAGCAAAGTGCAACTGCAGTGCTCACTGCCAGGAGCAGCAACGAGTGCAGGGTTATGCTCCTGGACAAAGATGGAACACCCAGGGCTCTATGGTCACCTGCTATGGACACCTACTATAAAAACGTGCCTCTTTGCTTTCCTTGCTCCATGGTCAACTACTTTGCATGCTGTTAAGTAACATCATATAGTGTCTCTTCTCCATGAGACAAGCTGTGTACAGGAAGTGTTGCCTGTATGGAGGACTATGGGAGCAGAGAGAGGAGAAGAAAAGTGCAAACACCACCACAAAGCCCGATGATCACCAGTGTACCATTCATCTGCAGATCTACCACTTGCCTCTGGTCTGCCTGGACCCACTGTTTCCAGTTGAATGTAACTGCCCCTTGCACACAGCGCTTCAGCCTCTTCCCTCCTGCCTTCACCGTGTTGCCTGTGCTGCCTTTTTTTCCCATTTCATCTCTTGCCAGCATCTGTTGTCTCGCTGCTGTCAACCCACAACCACGATGCCACAAGCAGATGGATATAGCAAGCCTGGAGAAAGGAAACTTGTTCCCCAGGTTCCCTGTGCTGGCTCTCCTGCCCAGGTAATGGGGTGGGGGATGCAGGCAGGAACTACTCCCAGATTTTCAAAGCACTCAAATGCAAAGGCCGGGAATGCTCGAGCCACTAGGAGGCTTCCGATACAGAGGCAGTGAACGTTACTGCCTGGCTGCGAGGGGGATAAGAGCCCCACGAAGCCGCAGTTACCTTCTTGGGAGGGTACAAACGGCCGAGCGTGGCCGTGGCTCGGAAGTAATCATTGAGGTGGTGCTGCCGCCCTGCGACAGAAGGGCGGTTACTACAGCCGAATCACGGCGGTACAGAGCGGCAGCGCCATCGCGCTCGCGGCTGCCGCCCGATGACCCAAGTACAGCACTGCAGCACTAGCTGCACGCATGCACAGTAACGCACACTGCAGCGCTCGCTGCTGCCGCCCCGTGGTCAAAATGCGCTCCTGCAGCCCGCGTCCAAGCCGGTAATGGCAGTGTGTTCGTTGCTGCCTCCCGCTAAGGGGACACCGCCAGCGCCCCGCTTGCGCGCTGCCGCCGGAGCGCGATTCTGCAGCCCGACCTCTGCGCACTGCCTCTGGCGTGCCGTCGGCGCCCGCCGCATGCACGGGAGCAGTACGGCGGCGTGGTGTGCGCGAGTCCCCTGCAGCTCCCTCCAGCAGCAGCACCTTACTTGGAGCCTGCCCCAGAGCACCCAAGGCCTGGCGTGAAGGCGGGGAGCTGGCCCTCGATGCGCCTCCAGCAGCCCCTGCGCAAGGAGCTTCTCCAGGCAGGGGCGATCTGCGGTAATAATTGTCGCTGCTGCTGCTTTTTCTCTGCCAGAGGCCGCCGCTGAAGGTGGGATTATCCGTTCTTCCCCTGGGGATGCCTATGGTTGCAGCCGCCTCAGGCTTGCCTGGGCTATCAGAGCCCGGCCTCTTGCTCTCCTTGGGGTGTGGTACCAAAGTGGGACAGGCGGAGCGCTGACTGGCTACAACCACAACCCGGCTTTTACACCACAGGTGCTAAGCAAGAGCTACTGTCATGAATTGTTTCATGACAATATCCGTTCCTGGTGCAAGATATTTAGTATCTCAAATGTTGTGCTTTACCTCTATGGCTGAGTTTCAAGTAACAGGCAACTACAGAATAACCATTTTGTATTTAAGCTCTGGAAGCATATGCAGCCCCTGTCACCCCCAAAAAAGGAAAAGAGACCCCAAGAGAGAGACCAAAGACAAACTTCACCCCATTACTGCCCTCCCCCTCCTTCTAACAGACTTTAGCAGAGCAATTTTAAACCAATGATCTTTCATTTACATGTTACAAGATTCATCTCATTTTCTGGATAGCACTCAACCTCCCCCAGAATCAACTGCTTTCATATAATGCCATCTTTGCCTACTGATTCCACCCATTTGCACAGAATGACACACTTGTATACAACACGCAGCACCTGGAAAAAGCACCTCCCCTGCAATGTTCACTTTCTTCTGAGAGGCCCCACTTGACTGAGCACAAAAGATCAACATGATGTTCCAAAATATAGTTCCAATACCAAAGGCAGCTCTTTTTCCAAACATGTAAAACATGTTTTTCCAAACATCCTCATAGATGAGGCAATGGTATTTGAGACACATTTCATACAGTTGGCTTTTAATAGAAGTATTCCAGTACTTCTTTAATTATGCTTTAGAACCAAAGTGTTTATACTTCTTCTTATTGTTCCTTATACAAAGAAAAAAAAAATACAGTGATATGAAAATGCCTTAAAATCTGGAATTCTTTTCTACTGTAGTTCAGATCCAAGTAAACATCACATTTTATAAAAGAATTACCTTTATTAACCTTACTTGAATTTTTCCCTCCTTCTGTTCTCCTCATAGCAAGTAAACAATAATGTTATCCCCTAACATACCTGGAAGAATATCTCATAATGGAGAGTTACCTCTTTGTAGTCTAAAAATCCTGATTAGCAAACAATTTTGCCAACTTGCATGCATCTACAAGATAATCCAAAAGGGCTGACTATATGTAGCTGTTGCTGAAATAGTTAATATTCCAAGAAAGCGATGATTAAATCAGAACTGGACAGAAAAATCCTCATCAAGAGTCACTAAGTAAAAGACAGCATATACAAATCTCAAAAGTGCTATGCATTTTATTGATTTCTGAGTTCTCCAGGTCTCAAACAATGGTATTTACAGGCTGAATTAGTCTAGTCTTGAAACTACTAGGAACTGTTTGTATACCTATTATGCTAGTTAACCAACAGTATAGAAAACAATGCATATGGTGAAATGCTGGCTACATTATATCTAATTGTTCCCCAATTAACTTTAATGAGTTGAGATTTCTTTAAGCAAAGGAACTCTTAAAGGAAGAATTATCATACCAGGTAATTATGCTAGTCTTGCCAATAGCCTGAAAACCATCAGTAGCAGCATTTTGCATTAAAAGAATAAATAGGAAAAAATTGTTTACGGGATCTTATCTAGAAAATAATACTATCATTCAGCAACATATTGTAACCATGTGATTCTACTTGATGTAGTAAGTGCATGCTGGCACAAGGTAACTGAATCTATCATTACAACTTATGTAGCACATGTAACTGGTGATATTTAGGCAATAATTCTTAATTACTAATATATTAAACACAAACGCTTCCATCTTGTAACTGGCCGATGCTTCCATTCCACAAAGCTGTGGTTGCTTGAGTTTAATCACTGAAGTAATTGAAAGAGAAGATGGATGCAAAGACTGCAACAGCAGCTGCTATTACCACACCTAAAATAACAAAGGAAATGCATTCAGTGAGTGGCAAGTGCAACAGTCAGGACAAGCTAGGGTGTGGAGAGCAGGGTCAAGGTGAATGACAAGAGGCGAAACAGCCACCCCAGAAAAACTATTTTACCACTGCTTAGCCTAAATCTAAAGCTACCATGTCAGATAATTAAATTATAGAAGTTCCACATTACATTTCTAATCAGAGGATCCTTCCACCTGTAAGTATGCTCACAGCATACTTCTGTAGTACCTTGGCTGTGTCCTGGCCCCTCAAAATAATGCACTGACCCTGCACTACTGCTTAGTTCTAGGAATCAGACTAGGAAAAACAACAAAAACTTTAAGCTTGGAGAAACAAAAGCTATGAAGTTTTTTCCTGAAAACTACATTTGCCCTACCTCTTTGTAGCACAACACTTTCCTATTAACATGCTTGTTACTGATGCAGTTCAGAAGATGACACACAAAAGAAACCCAAAGCCCCTGAATGATTACATTTACTGCTACTCCTCCTTAATCTTCCAGTTAGCATGTTCTAAGAATTAATAGAAAAGCAAAGTTACTGCTTTGTTGACCAAAGTGTAACTGTCCTTTAACAAAAAAAATATACAACCCCCCTCCCCCCCAAATAGAACTGTACTAAGTGCAGGCAGATATATGAAAGCTGGACCAGGGAGTACCAATGAAGAAACTATCTGAAAGAAGACTGTGGCTGGTATTCCCTGAATTACCAAGGCTGAAGATTAGCACTCAAGCCCATAGGTACTTGTCAGCTTCAGATGAAGATTAGTGAGTCACTAGCTGATTTATGGATGCCTACTTGACAAAGCCATTCAACTGTGTTTAATTTGGTTGTTTGGAATTTTGAAAGTACGGAATTATGAAAGTGGTGGCTCTCCAAAAAAGAAATAAAGCTATATGAGCCTTCTGCATTGATTTGAAGGCTGAACAAATGCGAACATGGCTTTTGTTCCAACAGTTGGCTCTGCTGTTTTCTGCCCCAGAAACACCCTGCAGCTACAATACTGATATGGGGACTCATTATTTTAGAAAAGTATTGTATTAATCTCACTTGTTTGCTAATAATGCTGTAGAAAGTAACTGTACAGAAGGAACGCATTATAGTTTTTGGGTTGCCATAGCAGAAATAAGGGAAGTAACATACCCATATTTTGCTGAAGTTTCAAGAGCAATGTTGCTTTTCTCAGTTGTTTCTCTTGTGCGTCATCCATGTTGTCAGTAACTGGACAAATACCAACTGCACAGAAAGCAAATGAAGTAGTAAATACCAGTTCAAAAGCTAACAGCTGTGTTCCACAGCTGAATTAATACAAAAGGTCAAGAACTCTGGATCAACTTTATAAAATACATTTATGGTAGAGAAAAACGGCTTATTGCAGTAGAAATCATACAGTAGGAACAGCATAGTACTAAATTATTCTGTATGTCTGGAAGAGTAAAAATAAAAATAACATTTGGACATGAGTCCCTTTTCCAAAACTCATCTTCCACATCCTACTTCCAGAGTAACATATCCAACCTCACCTGGAATATTGTGTCCAGTTCTGGGCCCCTCAGTTTAAGGACAGGGACCTGCTGGAGAGAGTCCAGCGCAGGGCAACTAAGATGATTAAGGGAGTGGAGCATCTCCCTTATGAGGAAAGACTGAGGGAGCTGGGTCTCTATAGTTTGGAGAAGAGGAGATTGAGGGGTGACCTTATTAGTGCATATAAATATATAAAGGGGGAGTGTCACGAGGATGGAGCCAGGCTCTTCTCAGTGGCAAACAATGATAGGACAAGGGGCAATGGGTGCAAACTGAAACACAAGAGGTTCCACTTAAACTTGAGAAGAAACTTCTTCTCAGTGAGGGTGACAGAACACTGGAATAGGCTGCCCAGGGAGGTTGTGGAGTCTCCTTCTCTGGAGACATTCAAAACCCGCCTGGACACGTTCCTATGTAACCTTATCTAGGTGTTCCTTCTCCGGCAGGGGGATTGGACTAGATGATCTTTTGAGGTCCCTTCCAATCTCTAACATACTGTGATACTGTGATACTGTGAACCCTCTTTACATAACTTAGGGAGAATTTGACTACACTGAGAGGGAACCACCAAAATGAACCAGGCCTTGCCAAGGAACCAGCAGCTCAGCTGACCTGAGCAGCTGACTCACAGGCAGCAGCACCAGGAGGGCCAGTGGCAGATTTAAACTGGTGATTGTCAGCCACTAATGGTCATTTGCAATGGGTGTTTTTTAGAGAAGAAATTATCAAATGCATCTCAAGCCCACTTCATCTTATATATATAGTTTCAACTTACTTTTAATGTGTGGAGGAAAAAACACCCTCATCTGCTTAAAATATGAGCAGAAATCTTCAACTAAAGTAAAGGAATTGTTAATGATTGCAAGATAGCTTTAACTAGCACATTAAGAGCACTGCATTCTCTCCAAACTACAACAGAGTTTTCAATTCCCTAAAATAACATTCCACTTTTAGAAAAGCTGACCACATTTCTTGGGTCACCTTTGAAGTCTAGGTCCAGCAGTTTCTTTCTGCTTTAGTTTTGTTGAGCAAGTAGGATAATTTGTGCCCTCTAACTTAATGTTTCTTTGCACCTTCATAACAACTGTTGCACTTTTCTGAAGAGAACTTTTGAAGCTGCACATCAAGACAGCAATGCTTGCTTGCTCAGGGAGAAGAGGGAAAAAAAAAACAAAAGAAAAAGAGGAAAAAGAAAGGAACATCCTAAAGCTACTTTGTTACCAAAGGCATTTATGCCATTACGTTATGGAAGATTTGCATATGAAACAGCTGTAGTACAAATCACACAAAGAATTTTCAAAAGCAGATGCTTTCTAGTGCCAATTAGATGAATTCTTAATTTTTCATTAATTCTTCAATTTGCTAACAAAGATGACGAAGTGTTTACCAATACTGAACCACAGAATCATAGAATAGTTCGGGTTGGAAAGGACCTTAAGATCAGCAAGTTTAAACACCCCTGCCATGGGCAGGGACACCTCACACTAAACAATCTCTCACCCAAGGCTTCATCAAACCTGGCCTTGAACACTGCCAGGAATGGAGCATTCACAACCTCCTTGGGCAACCCATTCCAGTGCCTCACCACCCTCACAGGAAAGAATTTCTTCCTTATATCCAATCTAAACTTCCCCTGTTTAAGTTTTAACCCATTACCCCTTGTCCTATCACTACAGTCCCTAATGAAGAGTCCCTCCCCAACATCCCTATAGGCCCCCTTCACATACTGAAGGCTGCTATGAGGTCTCCACGCAGCCTTCTCTATTTCAGGCTGAACAGCCCCAACTTTCTCAGTCCCCTGATCATCCTCGTGGCCCTCCTCTGGACTTGTTTCAGCAGTTACATGTCCTTTTTATGTTGAGGACACCAAAACTGCACACAATACTCCAAGTGAGGTCTCATGAAAGCAGAGTAGAGGGGCAGGATCACCTCCTTTCACCTGCTGGTCACACTCCTTTTCATTCAGTCCAGGATACGGTTGGCTTTCTGGGCTGTGAGCGCACACTGCAGCCGGCTCATGTTCATTTTCTCATCGACCAACACCCCCAAGTCCTTCTCTGCAGGGCTGCTCTGAATCTCTTCTCTGCCCAGCCTGTAGCTGTGCCTGGGGTTGCTCCGACCCAGGTGTAGCACCTTGCACTTGGCATGGTTAAACTTCATGAAGTTGGCATCAGCCAACCTCACAAGCGTGTCAAGGTCCCTCTGGATGGCATTCCTTCCCTCCAGCATATCAACCGAACCACACAGCTTGGTGTCATCGGCAAACTACCTTAGGGCGCACTCTTACTTATGTTTATCCACTCAGAGTATTTAACATATCACCCCCACTTCCTGCACCAAGGAGGTGCAGGGATTTAGTAAAGCCAATCATAAAAGCAAAGCTTTCAATTGCTTGTAGAAAAGCACTAAATACCTTGAAATACCTGTTTGGGCTATTTATGTCTTTCAATTATAAGTAGGTCAGTTTTATGTTCTATTTTCCATGTACCAATTTTAAAGCATGACCCAGTAGTGACCTCACTGAAGCGTTGTATTAAGAAACAAAAGAATAAAACTACAGGAGACAGCAGCAGAGGCTGGACTAAGTAGGCACATAAACCTGACCTTCTCAAAATACCTTTATTTCACACGTTCTGACTCAAAACTGTGTAAAAAAATAAATCTTTGCTATACTTATTATATCCTCCTCAAGTGCATATTTCAAAGAACAACAACAAAAAAAGGAACTATTTCAAAAGCCTGCTGTCCTGGTATTTTAAACAATTCTTTTTATCAACAAATCTTCCCCAGAATTTCACTATGGATAACATTTCCAGTTAATTGAAGGTTGGTGCCTAAGACCACAGAAATCATGATACAAAGATAAAGGCTGTTGTCAAAATTCACCACAAACCCATTTTTACACCACTACTAGATATTAATTATTAATAAAGATAGAGCTAAGCTCCAAGAGACAACAAATGCTACACAAACTGGAATGATGCACTGAAAAAGCCTGTACGCAAGGGAAACCCCCAAACTCTCATTGTGTCACAAGAACATTTTTATAGCAATACTTAGACACTTCATACCAAAGTGCCAACAAAAAAATCAAACTGCAAAATTAGTGTTTTTTCTTACAACACAGAACACTTTTCTTACACAGTTAAGAAGTCTCATTTCTAAAACAGCTTTTCTGGCATTAATAAAAGTGTATCAATAACTTGTTATTTTAATAAACCACAAGTTAATGATGACATAATAATTATCATAATTGAACAGTGTTGTGCTGATAGTATTATTACTATCATCACTATAAGCAGAACCCATTCTATGGACATACTTTATGGTTTACACTGGGAGAACAGCAATCCCATTATTTCCCCAAATAGTTTTTGTGTGCTTTTCCCTCTCCTCTGCTATGCACTTGCCTTAATTTGCCCTTTTATTCCACACACGCCTACCTCTCTAACCAACAAGCCACAAGAACACACAAGCACATTTTGCTGACATAATTTTACATGTATTAGTGGCATCAGATCTTTGTGATGCATCACTGTAAGTCTAATCATCTTTTTTCCTAGCTTCAGATCATACATCCTTGTATCAGCAATAAAGCTAAATTGAATCATCTTCTCCCTCCCAAGCTTATCTCTGCTGCTGAAACATTAATTTGCCTGAGTTATACTAATTCCTTAAAGCTCAGTAATAATTAGCTTTAAGATTATTAAAGTTACTCTTATAATTCAAGAGATATTTTTATTGGTCTTCTTGTTTTTCTTGAGGTTCTTGAGCTATGTTCATCTTTCACTTCTCAAGATAATGAATCAGATTAACAGCTAACAGGTTTAGTTAAAGCCAGGGGAAAATTGATTAATTCAGAAAGACGTAAGAATTTACAGTTAACTCTGAAACCAAGAAACTCAAAAACCCAACTAAACAAGTAGGTCAAGGAGAGTATCAGTAACCACAGTTCACCCTACAAAGCAAGCTCATGGCTACATTTCTCATTTTTTGCCCCTAAATATTAACATGAAAAAGTGATCACAGTTCTCACCTGAGAATGTGCTATTTTTGCTTTTAAATTATAAAACTGTAACTGCTGCTCATATTCATGCTGATGGGATTAAAAAAAGGACAGAAATCTCTTCCATAAGATCACAAGAAGTATTATTAGATGCATTTCAATTACAGATTTGACTCCTACATTGAAATCAAAGCCGGGGTGGGGGAGGAGCACAAACAGGAAATTATATAAGCGAATAATCAGGAAGTCACTAACTAGATTATACCAAAATATCTGTATTAAAGGAATATAAAAGTCTCATATAATCAGAATATAAACTTATAAAACATTCACTAGAAAAATAAAAGTGCTTCCAATTTTCTTTCCAGTTCTGGTGAATCACAGAAGTTCAATCTGGGGCATTTGATGCATAAATTAAAATACTCAGAATAAAGAATGGTACTTTGCATTTTTGAAAAAGTTTTAGAATGAGAACTTTCTGAAAAAAAATATGTATTAGACCATATGTATCTTTTGCTAATAGCGATTTTAAAGTATTTTTTAATTATTCAGTGGAAAAACAGTAGAATTGAGTAAAACACACACCTTCTAACTTATTCTAAGTAGTGTAAGAGTTACTCAGCTTTAAAAACATTGAACTACTAAAAAAGTAACGGAATACAAAGCTTTAGTGTTTTTTTTTTTAACAGTTTACTTGCCAATATAGAAACACTTCTTAACTCATGTGCAGAATAAAGTGAACAAGCCTTGTTTAACCATATATTCATGTACCTAACTGTAGTTCATGAGCTGCAACTACGGCTGGACAGATAATGCAGTGAGAGAGTAAAATATCCAAGAGGAGAAAGAGAGGTCTCTTAGAAGCCAATCATAGAAACTACAAGAACCCTTGCCATTTTTCACAAATATATTTAAACTGTAATTTGAAAGATCGCAAGATTGATAGATACCTTTAGAGCTTCATATGAAGTAAGCAAATTTTAAGCATGTTCATATCTGGATAAATCTGGCCTATGTCATTAGTCAACATTTCATAATCCATGATGCAGTTTGTCCTGGTTCTCAGGTACTGTATTTACCTGTGTTAATTTCCTCTGCTATATGGATATCTTCAGCTTGCACAGATTGATCCAACATTTCAACAAAACGTTCCTGAATTTCTCCAATAGCTTCCTCACCAAACCTATAATCACTGAGCATCACACTGGATCCAGCAACAGGGACAAACAGTCTTTGAGGTAAGACATGATATTCCCTCTCAAAATCTAAAAGAAAAGGGAAAAAATACCATCCAAATAAAAGCTCAAGGTTTCATGTTTCATGCATGGTTTGTTTAGTTGTTACTGTTTTAAGAAAATTTGGGGGTTATTACATTGATTTATGTTCTTACATTAGTGTCCCTAGAAATACCTGAGAGACCTTTGAAACAGACTATAAAATGTTAAATAGACCTTTGTTTTCTAAGTTTAGAACAACTAGCAAGAGAAGTCTGGGAAAGGCTGCAGGTAAAATCGTACACAGAACAACATACAATTTCAACACCATAAAGGACTGCAATTTTTTTGCTGCTGTACAATATACTTAAAGCCATAAAGTACAGGTGCCACCTAAAGAGGAAACTGAAAACTGCATGAAACTAGAAAGTACAAATTATGCAGTTTGGATAAAGTTGGCTAACACAAACCAAACCATGTTATTCTAAACTAAATAGTAACTCTGACCAGGAATCGTTTTTCCTTACACAATCAATCTGCTTTGAGTTCTATTTTTTTCTAAAATCTCTACCCAAAATAGTACCTTTTAAAAGGCCTTCCTTTAAGTAAGATTTTCAAATTTTTATTTCAATTAACTAGTAATATTTGGTTTAAAACCAAACAACAACAACAACAAAACCCACAAAAACCCCCAACAAAACAATAGGAAGGTAACTTGATACTATTACACTAACTAAAAGAAATTTCAAGAATCACCTAGCATGAGCTAGGAGATCCAGTCTCAGCATATACCGCCTTAGTTTTTAGCATAATCACAAGAGGAAGTTCTATTTTCATTAGGTCAATTTGGATTGCATTTTTGCCACTGCATGATGCTCTGTTACATTCAAGTTAATGCAATACAGTATTCCCAGTGCTGAAATAAGATCCATTTATTTAAAAGACACAAAGCCTGTAAAATAATACTTGATGAAAAACAGTAAGTTCTCGGGGCAGAGATGACACAAACTTTGTAGTTGTATAGCTAGTAAAAAAAAAAAAAAAAAGGATACTTGTTCACGTCATAATCACCATATTTTATTCAATGGAGATGAACAGTACTGAACTTTAGAGCTCATGTTCACTAGCAGTTGTAACATAGGTAATACGAAAACATGGAAGGCTATGTCCAACTGGCTCTTTTGATCCTGCCAAGTTTTAGTATACTTCAATATTCATAGGAATAAAAAAAAAAAAAAATTTAAAATGCACAAGTTACAGTTAGAATTTCAGTGACAGGAGTTTCAACATGAATTAAAAAAAAATATAAAATCCAAGCAGTGACTAAGACACAGAAATTGCATTTTGTGGTCATGAGATCTGAATACAAAGTCGGTGTGAAAGCTGCGGTGCCAAAGAACATATCTGAACTTGACTGAAATTCTCCAGATTTAAGAAAAAGTCATCGCTGACAAGCAGAAATTGTGCCATGTGCTTCTTATACTGGGACTTCAGTATACCAGCAGAATTTTCTGCAACAACCAAAATTCACTGGTTGTTGCAGTGAATTGGGTGGCTGTTGGGCTTTTGTTTGGTAGGGTATTTTTGTTTGTTTGTTTAGGTTTTATAATTCATACCTTTTTTGTGAGGTCCTTCATTTATAATCAGATCTTCAAATAGTATTTCACACCGATCACTCAATGTGTTTATTATGTCTCTTTTCAAAGCCTGTAAGGACAAAACAAAAACATCAGTAATACAACCCATGTTGAAAGAACAGTTTTTCCCAGAAAATAAAAACTCTAAAGAGAATTTTTATAAGTCCAATAATTAAAAAAAAAAAAAAAAAGGAAAGCTGAGGAATTTTTTAGTATTGTTAGGATAAGAACTCCAACTTCTAAACACTGCCATTAAAATCAAAGAAAAATAATCACAAGGCATTGACTAAATAAGGGGGGAAATCACTGAAAAAGTAAATATGTATTTTCCCCTCCACATATAGAAAAATATATTCTGTAATCTTTTTTTAAGAAAATTCTTCAAAGCCTAATCACTTTGACAGTTTGGGGAAAGATTCACTACAGAACAGCCTTAGGAGAGAGGAGACATATCTGCTAGAAATGAAAAAGGAACCTAATCCACCACATTGCACACAGATGACTTCTAGAACCATCCCTGTGTTCAAGGTGGTGAGCATTTTGACCTCAGTTTAGACCATATAATTTTGGCAAAGAAAAAAAATATGATAAATTTTATGTATTTCAGAAAAATGTTTCTGATGAACTAATAACCCTTTCACTACCTGAATAGCTTCTTTAACTTTAGGCTTGTTGTTATGTGTGTAGGCTCTGCATTTCACAGCACCTTTGAGATTTATGGAACCACTGCAGACCTGGACTGTAGCTGTTGATCTACAACTTGAACCCTGGGACTGAAAAATAAACATGTTTCAGTTTTATCTTGTTACCAAGGTGCATGCAGCAGAAGTAGCAAAAAACAAACCTAAGAAATTAATAGCATAGAATTATGGAATGGTTAGGGTTGGAAAGGACCTTAAGATCACGTAGTTTCAACACTCTAGACTACGTCACCCAAAGCCCTGTCCAACCTGTCCTTGAACACTGCCAGGAATGGAGCATTTACAACTTCTTTGGGAAAGTTGTTTCAGTGCCTCACCAGCCTCACAATAAAGAACTTCTTCCATATATCTAACCTGAACTTCCCCTATTTGAATTTAAACCCATTACTTGTCGTATCTCTACAGTCCCTGACGAAGGGTCCCTCCCTAGTATACTTTAGGCCCCCTTCAGATATTGGAAGGCTGCTAGCATACCTTAATATGTTTACACATAATTTGTTTTCCCTTATAATTTATATTTTTTTTTCTTGTTAGGTAAGACTGAAAATATTTCTTCTTGTCCATCATGGGAAATTTATCTACTTTTCCAGTCATTCAGTATCTTGCAATTTGAATACTTGGTGTCATTAAGACTTCAAAAACTTTCCAGGCAAGTGGCCCGTGGCTTATATTAGTATTGCAATCTATAAATCTTTTTAAGATTATCTTTTTATAAACAATGAAGTTTGTGTGTTTACTATATAGTCAACATAACCTATGGCATCCTGAGAGCCACCCCATCAGTCAGTACTAAATTACAAATGTGGTCACATTTACAACTGTGTCAAACTGTTGCCTAGAAATAGTTGACCTAATTACCAAAACAACAAGTGTTGTTACCAAAACCTGGAAACAGAAGAATGCATAACTTCCATGTGAACTTCATAAATTACTTCTGCCAAAATAAAAAGCTTTCCTTTCACTGAGGGAACCAGCCACCGGAACAATGTAACAAAAGAAGCTGAGATACTCATCAAATACTTAAAATGGCATTTTAGACATTTCTGAAAGTTTTTCCTAAACATAACTTTAGAGAATCCAGGAACTACCTGAAAAAAATGGGATAGCCTGTGCTGTGCAAGCAGCCTACAAAAACAGTGTCTGGACACATGTGGACCTTAGGACTTAGACAGGGACACCTAATTAAGGGTTCAAGTCATCATAAGCTATGGTAGAGAGGAAACTCCTGACACACCTAACAGCTCCAGATTGTGATTCAGTTTACAAGATCTGTATCTTAATCCAGAACTAATGATGGAGCTTCAGAAAAAAGCATTCAAGTAAATGTCCATAGCTAGTCATGGCAAGTTGAAGAGGGTAATTCTGTACTTCAGAATGATGAAAAGTCACCTTAAAATTAATGTATGCAGGAATCCTACTATTAAATTAATTAGTTTGCAGGACTTCATTTCTACAACCAGTTTTTCAAATTTTCCTTGCAGCCGTACTGTACAATTCTTACACAACGTGGTTATCACACAAGAATTTCTAAAGACACAAAATATGCAGATCAGTCCACAGTGAGTTTCAGAGTCAACATCCATGAGAGAAAACCAAAGTCTTAGGATTAAGTAAGCTGTACTTCTAGATAGTAACTCAGAATGTTATTTTTTTATTCTATTTCAGAAGTTAACAGTGAGCCTATACTTTACAAACCTCTAAATACTTACCAGCTGTGTCAGAACTTTGACATCAGAAAACTGAGAGCTGGACTGAGTATTTCCTCTTGACTTTTTCTGAGGGGAAACAAAGTCTTTATGCCATTAAGCAGGAAAAATAAATAAAATCTTCCTGAATCAAAGTCTCCTTACTGTGGTATAAAATGTGCATTTGTCTGTAGCTTTTAAGAGAGAAAAAGGCACATAGAAAACAGCCATGAAAAGGTAGTTACAAAACTAAAAGGAGAGATGAATGCATCAGCTAAACAAGGTGCTTCCACTGCTTCTTACACATTTAGACATACATAGCTCTTAGAAGTCTCATCACCTGCATTCATACCTTACTCATGTTCTTTAATTAGGAGACAGCACATAGAAAAAATTTTAGTCAGACTTCACATGTAATTACTGTGTTCATATTGCCAGAGGAGGAAGAGGCAATCTGCAGCAATGAAGATAGGAACACAAGCAGTCCTGGATATTAGTTACCTAAAATAGGCCAACTAGATCAATAAATATTTGTCCTGGGTTCAGCAGTAGCAGTCATTTTTCTCTTCTTAGTAGCTGGTGCAGTGCTGTGGTTTTGACTTTTGGCCTGGGAACAACACTGATAACACTGATGTTTTCAGCTGTTGCTCAGTAATGTTTACTCTGACCAAGGACTTTCCGAGTCTCATGCTCTGCCAAGGAGGAGGGGAAGCCAGGAGGAAGCACAGACAGGACACTTGACCCAAACTAGCTAAAGAAGTATTCCATACCACAGCATGTCATGCCCAGTATATAAACTGGGGGCAGATACACAGACGAGCTAGATCACTGCTCGGGTCGGGCTGGGTATCAGTCAGCAGGTGGTGAGTGGTTGCATTCTCTTCCCTTATTTCCCTTATCATTATTGTTATTGGAGGCAGCAGTAGTGGTTTTGTGTTATACCTCATTACTGGACTGTTCTTTCCTCGACCTATGGCAGTTCCATTCTTTCAATTCTCCTCCCTATCCCTCCGGGAGTTGTGGGAGAAAGTAGAGGGAGTGAGTGAGCAGCTACATGGTTCTGGGTTGCCAGATGGTCTTAAACCATGACAATATTGTGCAGAAGATGACCCAGTCAACGCTTTAGCACACTAACTACCTATTAGAGTTCAATTCCTCGTTGTTTGGTACTCACCTGCCCTTCCAGTAGTTCTGCATCGTCTTTAACTTGTCCATTGATCAGAAAAACACTATCTTCTATCTGTTTCGCCCATCGATTTAACCCATTCTTAAAAAAAAAAGTGAAAACACAAAACTCTTTCAAAGAGGAAATAGAATTTAACGAAAATTGAGTAGTATCATACTGAAAATGATAGAAATACATGTTTCAACAGTTGCTCTGAGAGTTTTAAAGTGTCTAAAAAATCTGTCTACATATTTTTCCAAAGCTAAATCTTAAAACCAACATATTCACAACACATCCATCAAGAAACAGGCGTTTCAAAATACTGAAGTGATTTGATTTTTTTAGAAGAGGTATCCAGCCTACAGAAAGTCAGTTTATACTAAAAGTGCCTCATAACCCTGTTATGCTTGGATGTAACCTTTTACTAAGTGAAGCAGAAGACACTTTAGTTGGAATACTCATGACAATTGCTAAACAATTCTGAACAAAGGAAAACTTTCAAAACTAAGTACAGCAGAAGAAAAGCTATCCACATTTTTATACTATGAATGCTTCATAGTAACTTCAGAGGAGTAACTACCAAACATTCTTTGTTGATTAGTCCTACTCCTCTACTCACCCTATTAAAATCTTCCCCCTCTCATCAACAGAAAAAGTAGTGCAGATACCAACTACGAAACTGGCAGAGCCAGCCACTTACCTTGATATTCTTTTCCAAATCATGGTTTGGTGAAGTAGCAAGAAGTGGAATGTGAATATTAACATTTACTGTGCAGTCCAAAGCTAACCAGGAAGCAGATAAAGCACTCTGATATTTCCAATCTGCTGGTTTAGCTGAACTCTAAAACCAGAAAAAAAGTAATACAATATCTGCAAAAACCACTGTATAATACAAATGGAGATTTTTATTTTTTTTAACATTATTTGTCATGCATTAGAAGCTGTATATGACATACAGGATGACTAACTTACCTTTGGATCTTGTACATCATAGGTTCGGCAAACTACTCTTTGCTACTTAAAGAAAAAGACCCAGTGAAAAGCAATAAACAGAGTAAAACCAATTCACTGACAACTAACTTTGTCTTTACTTCTTTGTTGAGCTAATTTATGCTCTGAAGAAAGTTATCATCTTCTATTAGTGTGAAAAGTGGAAAAACCTTTGCCTGTAAACTCCAACTACCATAGTGATGCTGTCCCATCTCTTACAAATATATTAAGATCAATATGTATTCACATGGAGAAACACCTCTCTAAGGAAAAACCTTGCTTGCTCTCCTTATTATCAACGGACTCAGCATTCTTTCTGCAGCACTAGTAGAGATCCCACATGCCTGTTATTTCCCCACTTACATGTAAGTATCACTGGTAATTACAAACTCAAGCAGCTATACAGTATTTTAGATGTTTTCTTCACTTCATGCAAATCAAAACTGTCTGGGGAAGGCATAATTTGATACCACCACAGAGACAAATTTAACAGTAAGAAATTATGGAAATTTTGCAAGGATAAAAAGGTCAATAGTCTGACTCATGGCTAATCAGAAAACTTCACAATTTTAACACAGTTACTTACGCCTATCTGAACTCAAACAACTTCCTTCTCCTAATTTAGCATTTATACAGAAAAGAATTTGGGAGTAGCAGTCTCCATTAATAAAGCTCGCTCATAAAGGATACTTTTTCGTAGCAGAACAGATCTGAAGAGCTGCTCTCTCTGAGATTTCCTCCTCAGCAGGTTTCCAGAGCCTTCTTTTAGTCAAAGACTTTTCCACTGAAAAGATTAGCTAAAGATGAAAAAAGTATAGATTTTCATAAAAATAATGTGTTATGCATATAACAGACTTGTACTAAAGTTCTAAGTCCAAGCGATAACATAATTATGTATAAATGGGAAATACAGCTTATAGGTCATCAAAATGTCATGGTAAAAGATGATTCTACAAAGATTCATAGGCAACTACTCCAAAGTGAGTTGCCTGTGAAATCTTAAATCAGCTTCCTTATAATCCAAATCAAGCAACACACATTCACATATTCACCTTGTATGCATTTCTCCTTACATAATATTACAGCTTTATGCCTATCAGCTGAGTATCAGAAAAGACAGCTGTGCTAAATAGCTACTAATTAAAATAATTCAGCAATCACTGACCACCTGAACACAGCTCATCTTTTTCTGTTGGCCACTAGGTTCAGTAATCACAACTGACATGCAATTGAACAGCACTGCCAAAACTGAATCTTGGACCTTAGCCTTCAGAACCTACTCATGTTTAAATTACTTATCATGTGTATTTATGAAAATGACATATACCTACAGAACAGAAACTAAACATGGCAACAGATGCCCCAGTACTGTAACAAAAACACATTTTAAGTCTATCAGGCAGTAGCATGTTCTGAGTAGTTTTTAAATATAGCTGTACACACATAAGTCAAAGACCACTAGTTCTATACAAGATATTGTTTTTAAAGGGATCGGATATTTTCAGTGTTGCAAACTTCTCTAATCTGAACAATTTATTCAGACAAAAGCAATAAAAGATAACATTACTGAAACTGTGCCACAAGGATTTTGCTTAATATAAACCATGAAGATGTTTTCCTTAAGCCAGGATGTCTGCTTTCAGTAAATACAGAAAGATTTGCTGTTACAGTAACAAACGTCACAAGAAACAGAAAGTCAGCAAACACTACTGCGATACAGTTCTGTAGGACAGTGATTTCTGAGCTTTCTGCCTCAAAACCATACACCAAGCCAGAACATTTGTGCTTTAGAATAAAGCAAAACAGTCATATATACTCACGTAAACAATAGAAAATTACTCAGCTACACATCTAAAGATACTCCTGGTTTTCCACCAGGAAGTCTACTTACCTTGCGCAGAGCATTTTGACTATCTTTTGACAGTTCTGGACTTGTAATAATAAACACACCAAGAACTAATAAGCCTCCAGGAAGCATTCTAGAAACCTTAAAATAAAAATAAACATTTGATAATAAGAATCGGAGATCTAGCAACCATGTAACTTCATATATAAAAATTTTCTAATGAAACAGGTAAGCATTGAGAACAGAAATGAAATAAGCAAAGCTGATTTTCATTTGTAGGTTCCTCCAAAATGTAGGAACACATGCTGCATATTTTTTCTTCCTTCAGTCCTATCAAGTCTCTGTTTCTTAATAAAATTTGAAAACAATACAGGTATTCTGGTTTAAAATATCTGTGTCTAGGATGGTTAGGCACTTTCAAAAAAAAGCCTGAGATTACATAGGTAATGAGATAGTTTTTGTCCATCTTATTTCCCTTGTGTTCCTCCCACCCCCTTCATCAACTCATACTGTGCTACCTGACTGGCATGTGCAGTTATCCATTCTTCATCAATGGATGCCAGTTTTGAAGGACTGATATCTTCCTTCTGCTCTTCTTTCGGAGGCGTTCGAACAGCCTGTATTATGTAGTCCTTTTGCACGGAACACTTTCATAAACATCAATATAAATAAATATACCATGAGGTTGATATAAAGAAAGAAAATACTGCATAGTAACTATATGGGTTGCTTTACACTAGGTATTTTTACACTGTATAGTGATCTGTTACTAAAGTAATTCCTTCATGATTTTTTTTTTTTTTTTTGCCTTAAATCCTTGTTTAGTGGTAAGTTGTATCTTTTTTGTGCGTCCTATCTTTCACAAAACTCTAAAGACTTGAGTAGTTAGTTGACACTGGTAAATCTTTACAGAAGCCACTTCTGGTCATATTACCACCCTCCCGCTTTATACAAGCTCAATGTGATGTTGGCAGACTTATCCCAGATTATTAATTCCAAGGGGGGGGTTTCTCCTATTAATAGAAATGAATGGAACAGACTCCAAATATTACACACTTACCTGCCCTATTAACAGGCCAGTGACATAAGGCTGTACTTTTGTGCTGAGGTTTGAAAGATACGGACCAATAGCTTCCTCAACAAAGTAAGTTCTACCCATTGCTGCAGTTTTAAGACCAAGTTCTGTAGTTTCAACCTACAAAGCAAATAATGTACAAAGTCAACAAAAGCATATATACTGCACATGGTTACATGAAAATGAGAGTCTCACACAAAGATTCTGAATAGATGAGTAGTTTCATCTGTCAACAAAGGTTAGTCAAGTAGCTTTATTATCTGCAAGCTTGGAATTTTTTTAAATGAAAAGCTTAACTCTATACTAAAGGAAGAAGTATGTGGCCCTTATTTGAAGGAAAACTATTTTAAATACCTGCCACTGGAATGATATGGCAAGTTGTGCAACTAAATGCTAGAAAAACACAGAATCACAGAATTGTTTAGCTTGGAAAAGATCCTTAATGACCAAGTCCATCCAATCCATAAACCTAACACCGAATCATGTCCCTAAGTGCCACATCCACACTTCATTTTAATACCCCCAGGAATGGTGACTCCACCACTTCTTTGGGCAGCCTGTTCCAGTGCTTGACAACCATTTTGGTAAAAAAAAAATTCCTAACATCCAGCCTAAACCTCCCCTGGTGCAATTTGAGGCCATTTTCTCTTGTCCTGTTGATTGCTACTTGGAGAAAAGACCAACCCTCACCTCCTTAAAACCTCCATTCAGGTAGCTGTAAAGAGTGATAAGGTCCCCTTAAGCCTCCTTTTCTTCAGGCTAAACAACTCCAGTTCCCTCAGCTGCCTTTCATAAGACTTGTGCTCCAGACCCTTCACCAGCCTCACTGTCTTTCTTTGGACACATTCCAGCACCTCAGGGTCTTTCTTGCAGTGAGGGCCTCAAAGCCAAACACAGTATTTGAGGTGCAAAGTATTTCCAAGCAACAATTTCTTGCTGAGTCATGTTTCATCTTAAGTCAGAGTGTGGAGTTTTTCTATTTACATTCCTCTTTGAAGGTCTTGCTAAATTCCACGCTTGTACTTAATTACGCCATGCTCAATTTTCATTCCAGTTCTGAAGGCATTAAAAGTACAGCATCTGCGGACTAGCCAAAAGGCCATCTTTACATCTCCTCTCAGCAGCCATATGAATCCAGGACACAGGGACTACTAGACATTGCTCCCTTCTGAAACTGATGTGGCCTATTGCGTACGGGGGGGTTGTACAAGGGGGTTAGACAAAATGTACAGAGGGGGGTTGTACGTGGGGGTACTGCTTAAATTACAGCTGGCTTGACAAGCTTAGCAGATGCCTTATCAGGCAGTACCAGGATAGAACCTCCTAATGAGGAGAACAGAGGCGGGTTGTACAAGGGGGTACTGCTTAAATTATAGCTTGTTTGACAAGCTCAGCAGATGCCTTATCAGGCAGTACCAGGACAGAACCTCCTAATGAAGAGAATAGCTCATTAAACCAGTTGGACATAGACCAGACCCATCCAGCTACTAAAAAGCATGCGTGAGGACCAAAGGTAAAAAGTTCAAGCCTAAGGAAGACTCGTTTACTTCATCTTGAAGACCCCTACCCACAAGAGGAAGCCTACTTACTTCATCTGAAGACCCCTGCCCAAAACCACCAGGAGGCACTGCGCATGCGTGGAGAGCCTTTTAGCTCATTATAATAGGAAGCGGGGATAGAATATAAATATGTATAGGCGTATTGTGCAACCTACTACATATGTACAACTTTATAGGATAAATGTAGAAGGAAAACGGCACTGAGGCGCACATGCCTTTTGGAGGACCAATCCCCCGTGCGTCTTCAGCTGAATAAAGCATACCTACTTTACAACTTCAACGAGTTGTGAAGTCTATTCCGCTATCACCTTCCATGCAGACCTATTTCGAAAACTGCTATATGCACTGCGGACTTTCATGAGGAAAATTAACTATACAAAATCTGAAGCCAAAGACTGAGCAAGCAAAAGGCATACTGAGTCTCCACAAAGGTGACTGATGAAGAAAGCTGCGCAAGAGATGGCGGAGCTGAAGCTCTCGAGCCGGGAAAGGAGGAAGGCTGTCATCCACCTCACCTCAGCCCACACAGCCGGGCCAAAAGGCCCTCTGCACCCTCGCCTGCGATGGAGCCAGGCACACGGCTCGGCGGCCGTTCCCGCACAGCTGCCCCCCGCGCTTCCCGCACTAGCCTGACGGGCGCGACCGGCTCCAGGTCCGCAGGCTCGACCGCCGCAGGCGCCTCCGCCGAGCGCTGAAGTGGCCAATGCTAGCGCTACATGCAGGCGCCGCTATCGACCTGGCGCAGGTGAATGACGTAACCCAACCCAGACCGGAGCGCGGGAAAGGGGAGTGCAGAAAGGGAGCTCAGCGCCAGGGAAGCCATGCTTTGAATGGCAAAGCAGTAACACCTCCTTCTGCAACTCCTGGACCTACAGCACGCCTTTTGAGGGGCCAGCAGCCTCAGGGCGAGCTTCGAGACGAAGCCTTCAGAACTCTCATGTCGATTTTAGCAGCTTTCTTTCGTACACCAACCCAAAGATCTCCCTTCGCGGAAGCGTTCGCAGACGCGCCGCTTCCGGTCTGGAAAATGACGCCGTGGTTTGGCGGGGCCAGACCAGCGTGCTCGCGCATGCGGCTCTGTGGCGCCTGCGCTGTTGAGCGCGCCACGGCGGGTGCCGGTGAGGTAGGACAGCGTAGGGGCTGCCGCCAAGATGGCGGCCGTACTGCAGCAGGTCCTAGAGAGGGCCGAGCTCTCCAAGCTGCCGAAGCCGGTGCAGGCGAAATTGGAGCGCTTCCTTGCCGATCAGCAGAGCGAGATCGACGGGCTCCGAGCCAGGCATGAGCGTTTTAAAGTGGACAGTGGTGAGTCTGAGGAAGGGGAGCTGGGAGAACGGGGCGGGCCCCGACTTGCTCCGTACGGAGGGGATCGCGTTGACCAAAGGCTGAGCAGTATGTGCTCGTCCCGCTGCTCGGGCAGAGGCAGCGGGCCGGCAGCTTGGCTTCGGATGGGTGGGCTGGGATCAGGCCAGGTGTCCTCCTTTGTGCGTTTTAGCGAGTAGCAATGTCTCGATTCTTTCTGATGAGGAGTGAGGGAGGGCTGGGCCTCAGGGGTCGTTGTTGGCGTCAAAACACTTTCAGGGGACGACGTGGGACTTGTGTGGTGGGTGTGTGCGTCCTCTGGTCGGGAAGGGGCTCTGAGGCGGGCGGGGGGGGGGGGAGGGGAGGGGGGCGTGTCCGTGCAAGGTCCCTTCAGTAGCGACCTGATAGGGTTTTTTCTTTTTCTCTTGTCTAGAAGAGTCGGATTTTGATTTATTTTCTTTTGTAAAGGACTACTCAGGTTTAAAACTACCTTCAGAACGAGCTCGAGCAAGAGCCTTTCATCAGGTTTTTAGCAGGCATTGGTACGCTTCAGTCTGCTTTGGTCATTGTTGTGGAAGAGAAATAATTGTTTGTTTACCCAACTCTCAAATAGGTTTACATTTATACTTTTTCTGATAAATTTCATATTGAAGACCATAACCTTTGTGTGAAATGCTCCTCATAGAAATCAGTGTTTTTATATTAACTTGGAGGTTACTTTGTCATAAATAATAGCAGTAGACAACTTTAGCAGAAATGGGACTAGAGTTTAGATAACTGTAAGCGCTGGAGAAGGGTTGTAAGTATGAGTTAATGTATTGGGTAGGTGACATATTTCTGATGTAAGCTTCCACCTTTCTTTCAATGTTTCTGTTTCTTTAGTGATAAAAGTCTTATTAAGGTAGAATAGTGAAGTGTAATGTTAATTAAAGCATCGCACAGATTTTAACAGGTTAGTCTCGTTCTCATCTTGTGTGGCTGGAAAGGGTGCATTATTAGAGGCTTATAAAAAGTGGAAGCAAGGACAGGCAGCCTGGGAAGAGTACAGGGATGTTGTCCGGGAAGCTAGGGACCAGGTTAGGAAAGCTAAGGCCCAGTTAGAGTTAAACTTGGCTAGAGATATTAAGGATAACAGGAAGGGATTCTACAGGTACATAGCGAATACAAACAGAATAGGAAGAACATAGGCACCCTCAGGAATCTCTCAGGAGAACTAGCTACACAGGATTTGGAGAAGGCTGAGGTTCTGAATGACTTCTTTGCATCGATCTTCTCTGGCAAGGGCTCTGACCGCACCACCCAAGGCTTGGAAGGCAGACGTAGGGACTGTGAGAATGAAGACCTTGGGCCCACTGTAGGAGAGAGGAACATGCACAAGTCCATGGGACCCGATGAAATCCATCCACAGGTCCTGAAAGAGCTGGCAAATGAAGTTGCTAAGCTGCTGGCCACCATATTTGGGAAATCAAGGCAGTCAGATGAAGTTCCCGACGACTGGAAAAAGGGAAATATAACCCCCATTTTCAAGAAGGGGAAAATGGATGACCAAAGGAGCTACAGACCAGTCTCACCTCTGTGCCTGGCAAAATGTTGGAGCAGGTTCTCCTGGAAGGCATGCTAAGGCACATGAAAAACAACAAGGTGCTTGGTGACATCCAGCATGGCTTCACTAAGGGGAAGTCCTGCCTGACCAATTTGGTGGCCTTCTATGATGGGGCTAGGGAGCTGATGGACAGCGGTAAAGCAGTTGATGTCATCTACCTGGAGTTGTGCAAAGCGTTTGACACTGTCCCACACGACATCCTTGTCTCAGAGTTGGAGAGACATCAATTTGATGGATAGATCACTCGGTGGATAAAGAACTGGCTGGATGGCTGCACACAGAGTTGTGGTCATTGGCCAGCTGGAGACCAGTAACAAGGGGTGTCCCTCACGGATTGGTGTTGGGACTGGTCTTGTTTAACATCTTCATCGCTGGCACAGACAGTGGGATTGAGTGCGCCCTCAGCAAGTTTGCCAATGACACCAAGCTGTGTGGTTCGGTTGATATGCTGGAGGGAAGGAATGCCATCCAGAGGGACCTTGATATGCTTGTGAGGTGGGCAGGTGCCAATCTCATGAAGTTTAACCATGCCAAGTGCAAGGTCCTACACCTGGGTCGGAGCGGTCCCAGGCACAGCTACAGGTTTGGCAAAGGAGAGATTCAGAGCAGCCCTGCAGAGAAGGACTTGGGGTGCTGGTCGATGAGAAAATGAACATGAGCCGGCAGCGTGCACTTCCAGCTCAGAAAGCCAACCGTATCCTGGGCTGCATGAAAAGGAGCGTGACCAGCAGGTCAAAGGAGGTGATCCTGCCCCTTTATTCTGCTCTCATGAGATCTCACCTGGAGTATTGTGTGCAGTTCTGGTGTCCTCAACATAAAAAAAACCATAGAACTGTTGGAACAAGTCCAGAGGAGGGCCACGAGGATGATCAGGGGCCTGAAGCACCTCCCATATGAAGATAGGCTGAGAAAGTTGGGGCTGTTCAGCCTGGAATAGAGAAGGCTGCATGGAGACCTCATAGCAGCCTTCCAGTATTTGAAGGGGGCCTATAGGGATGCTGGGGATGGACTCTTCATTAGGGACTGTAGTGCCAGGACAAGGGGTAATGGGTTAAAACTTAAACAAGGGAAGTTTAGATTGACTATAAGGAGGAAATTCTTTCCTGTGAGGGTGGTGAGGCACTGGAATGGGTTGCCCAAGGAGGTTGTGAATGCTTCGTCCCTGGCAGTGTTGAAGGCCAGGTTTGATGAAGCCTTGGGTGAGAGATTGTTTAGTGTGAGGTGTCCCTGCCCATGGCAGGGGTGTTTAAACTTGATGATCTTAAGGTCCTTTCCAACCCGAACTATTATACGATTCTATGATTTCAAATTGAAAGATATGTTAGCAAATATAAGAAATAAAAATCCCTCGGTATTTCCTTAGAATTCCCGTATGCCCGAGAGATGTTGGTTCTTCTTTTGCTGTGTACTTTACATTTAAGCTCAATGATTCAGTTA